TATGCATTTACTTTTCAGTACTCAAATAAATAAGAAACAATAAATAATATCAATAATTTATCTTCATTTTTCGAAAAAATAGTATGAGTAGTAAATAGCTATTTTGCATCGAATAATTTTAATCAGCAGAATATTTTTAATTTCTTAAGAAGATTTAATTCTCAGCTAGCTGGCGAAAATTCTAAGTTTCCTTTAAAAAAAACTTGACAATAATTTAAAAAGGGAATTTTACTTCAGAAGAAAACCTAAATTACAGTACTAAAACAATTGATTAGTATAATTTTTTAAAATTTTTTTTTATTCAATAACAAAAAGATTCCTCGTGCACCACTGAAAAAGTACAACACGAGGCTTACAGACGTAAGTATGGTATCAAATAATGTAGGATATTTAAACAGATATACATACTAAGAGGGCATGAAAAATTAGGGAGAAAAAAAATAATAATAAAAGTAAAAAAAAAAAAAAAATAAAAAAAAACATTTGCAAAAAGGATGAGAAAAGGAAAAATAAAAATAGTGCATAAACTGATTTTGATTAGTATATTAATGGAAAAATAATATACGTGGTAGCATAAAGAAAAAGATTTTGAGAAATGTTAAAATTCAATTAAATGTTATCTACGTATTCGTATTAATTATAAACTATATGTTGAAGAAATTGATAAATATAATATTCCAAATCAATGCATGCTCTTCTATATTATTGAAATTGTGTCAATTATTGAAAGAACAAACTAAAACATAAAATTAAGAGAAGCTGACGTATAATCACATTCAATCAGAAACATGCTTTTATAAAACTCGACTTTCATTGAGTAAAATGTTTTTTATTCAAAAACATTTTTACTAAAATCTCTTATTAAATTATGACTAAATAAAAATAAATACGAATTTTAGACGACTGAAAAAGAAACATCATATTTTATAATTAAAAAAATATTAGCTATAGATTGTGGGCGAAAACAATTTGAATGACATTTTAAACTACGCGCGTAAGTCAAGTTTCTCGTAAGTTATCTATATTTAAATATCAATTGTCCCATTTAAATATTTCTTCATTGCCCCAAAATTGCTAAATTTAATTTATCTAGACTTCTACTTAATAAAAATTTTTGAATCTCCAGATTTTGCTATAGATTTTTGCCAGATTTATATGGTATAAAAACTTATACCTCATAATTCAAAATTCTTTCATCCACAATTAAATAATAAATAATTATTAAAAGTTATTTTTTGCTTGAAATTTTCCTTGAGTAAACAGGTTTTATGAGGGGAAACACTTTGTTTTTGAATTTCTTTATTAGTTTTAAAAATATGACTTAAAATGCAAAAGTGAAATTAACATTAAGGGGTCCGAATTTTGAATCGCTCTCCCGACCAAACTGTAGGGACCATATTTACCAGAATGTGAAGGTTAAGAATCAAAATATGTAAAAAAAAATATATGTTTATTCAGAGAAAGTACGTTTTTGTGTATGATTTCGTAACTTAATTAATAGTTAGCACTAATTAATTAGCATATTTGAGGTCACCCCCAGGAACCATTAAGATTGACACTTAGTTCGTGAAAATCGGATCATTAGAAC